CCCCAAAACCCCAAAACCCCAAAACCCCAAAACCCCAAAACCCCTTTTATTTTGAATAAATTGATTAGAATAAAATTATAAAATGTCTATTATCCCTCACAGACCACCAGATACCCCTCTAATGCAGTTTTACTCAACTGGAAAATACGATAAACCCGTTAGTGAGAGGAAATTCAAACCAAATGCAGCTGAGCCAGGACCTGCAGCAAGAATGGCTGAAAGGAACCTCCAACCACATGACGAGATCAACGTTAAAGCTGTAAATCAGAGCAAATTCTCTAGACGGCATTACAGGCCTGATGGGTATATCAAAATACAAAATGAGGTTAATAAGATCGACACTAAGCAAACCGATAGCAACCTTACTATGAATAAAATGCATAATATGAAAAGAGATATTGATATAAACAGGAAAAACCTTGCTAATAACTTCGGTCAACAACTCAATCAGTACAAAGTAGGGAAGAGCGTAGGGAAAAGTGATTTTGAAAAACGAAGAAGTGAACAAGTAGATTCTAAAAGATCAAATAAGAGTCAGATCAGGTCCTCAAGAGGAAAGCAAATAGCAGAGACAATGCTGAGAAGAACCGGTTGTGAGAATAATTACTATAAAAACTCAAAACATCTTTTCATGACCCAGGAACACAAACCAGGGCCTTACCAAACTACCATGCCTGATTACTTTAGAATTCGCGAAAATCCAAAGAATAATGTAGATGCTTCCAAAGCAGCTGGGTTCGATGGGACTATGACAGTCGTATCAAGGACTAGAGGATGGTTGACGGTTACTCCAAAGAATAAAAACAGGCAGAAACCTGTAGAAAAATATGGTATTTCTGGTGATGCTGCAAAAACCTCTAAGCTCACACCAAACTGGATGCAGTCTCAATATCCCAAGAACAAGAATGATCCAATGCATGCAGGAGTTATCTCTGCTCACAACATGAGAGCAGAGAAAAAGAGAATTTATTTATTAGAAAAAAGCAAGCCTGAGAAGGCTGCTTTGAAAGCTCTTGATCCTGAGACTACTCAGCATATGCATCAGAATCATAACAAAATTATCAACCAAGCTCAGTCTAAGAACATGATGAATACCATGGACTGGAAAGAGAATGTAACCCAGCAAAAATTCGACAAGAAAGTAGCAGGGAAGATTGGTTCATACCATGGCTAAATTCGAATATTAAATTCATAATTCAATTCTTTCTTACATAAAGGGGTTTTGGGGTTTTGGGGTTTTGGGGTTTTGGGGTTTTGGGG